GTCAGACAAAAAATCTAAGATGTGCGCCGATTTTCAGCCGGGGTTGCGGGGTAAGCGCAATGAGGCACCGCGACCTCGGCCTAGAGCAGGAGAAGGAACAGGGGGGTTTTTAGTCAAAAGACTAAAAACTCCCTTAAAAGAGTAAGAGTCTGACACTCCCTCCCGCCCGGCCCTGGGCCGGAGAAGTCATTTGATGATTTTCCCCTCACAAAAAAAAAACCCCTACAGCATATTGTGGCTATGTTCTATTTGTTTTAAGGTATGGTTTGGTGCTCTGGGGTTCTACTGACATAAATAAAGCTTTTATTGCACAAAAAACTATATTCGTCTATTTGCGATGCTTGCCCATTACAATCTTGTAGACCACTTTTCCAAAAACTACGTGTCGTCACTCTGGTATCCTTGTATATAGCTGAGATTGGTATGTTTATTTGAAACCATCCTCACCTTAATCCCAATGTCAGTGAAGATTGTAACTTTAAACAGGAGGTAAATACTAAACTAAGAACGGATAGACGTAGAAGTATTTTACACAATAAAAATTGTCGAATCATGGTTATTAATACATATATCAAGTTTCCTGGGGAGATTAGAAAGCTACCTAAAATAGGATTTTAAAGGAAGTTAAAAGACTTATATAAATGTACTCCTACAAATTAGAAGAGTATATTGTTTATAGAAAATAGATTTGTAAGTATTAGTTAGTTATAAGTTTAAACATTTATGCTATTTTTGCATGCCTACTGAAGACGAGAAATTCTAAGTGACTAATTATTTTCGTGTTTACCATGTTACTGCGAATAAAGATTTTCATTATCTCTCTCTCTCTGTCTCTATTTTTTTATGTAATTGTTCGGCAATCGAGCAGACGGATTACCTGATGGTAAGCAATCAGCGCCGCCCATGGACATCCGCAACGGAGGAGTTACGAGTGCGTTGCCGACCTTTTAAAGGATTAGGGATTTGGACTGAGGGATTGAGGAGGGATTGGGGGAGGGGAAGGATTGGGCCTCCGGTAACCTCATTCACACGACGAAACAAAACGCTGTGGTTATTTCACGCCGGTTTTCTGTGAGGCCGTGGTATCACTCCGGTCGAGCCGACCCATTCGTGCCGAAGCATAGCTCTCCCACACTTAAACACACTCTATAGTGTTATTCAAAAATTGGTGTAACTATAGGTATATTTTTAAACATTGATATATCGCGTATTAATTTCTGATCGACTTGAAAGTCTGTACGAATATTCGTGTCGCTTAAACGCTCTTCAAACAGGCACATCCAGAAACTGTAGTAGTTTTTCGTGTGGCTGTGTTTGTTACATTCAATTCTTTATCTGTGCACCTGGTCTGCTTAACTACAAACCATGTGCATAGCATAAAGCTTATTTGTATCAAAATCACTTTAAGTTTTGATATACCCACGTTTTACTTATTGACAATCTGATACAAGTTATTTCTTTGACCAGCTAGAATGCTAGATGGACTGACGACATCCGTAGGGTGGCTGGCAGTGGTTGGACGAGCATCTCAACATCGAGCTCAGTGGCGTGTAATAATAATTGGGGAGGTCTATTTCCAGCAGTGGACTACATTAGGCTGATGATGATTTCTTTGACAGAAACAAAGTAATCGGCTTGATGATAATACCTGCTAAGATCAAAAATAGCCTCTTTTATGGATATTTTTTATTCGAGGATGATGATGGTGATAATGATCGACATATTTACACAGCAAAATTTCTGTAATAGGCTTATTGAAAAAAAACAAATATTAATCCGCTTGTGGAAAAATCCGGTTCTAGATAAAAGCACACACAGCTTATTATACTTTTATCTACCTCTTAACTATTGATAAAAATGATTCATAAAAACCTTTACACCCCCTATATCGAAGGATTAAATTTAACAGAGGATTATTTTGGAGGTTCATTCATTGATTTCGTTTGTCAATAAGTTAAATAATGATGATGGCTTTGGGGCACAGCCTAAACATTCTAGATATTTTGATATAATTTTTGAGGGTTATATTAATACTGGTAGATAATAAGAGATACATAAAAACATACATAAACATAGAATAAAAAACTGGCAATGATTGTTAACAAGCTTTTCACGTCATCTGTTTCGATTTGCTGTATCAAGATCATCAGCCAAATACACTCACACTTGTCAATGAAGTCGAGGATGTAAATTACACCACCGAAAAAAAGAAGAATACTTCTGGCCAACCTTCTGTAGTAAGTGTAGCAGTATAGGAAATAACCAGCCGGGGTTGCGGGGTAACCAGCCGGGGTTGCGGGGAAAGCGCAATGAGGCACCGCGACCTCGGCATAGAGCAGGAGAAGGAACAGTGGGGTTTTTAGTCAGTAAGAGTCTGACACTCCCTCCCGCCCGACCCTGGGCAGGAGAAGTCATTTGATGATTTTCCCCTCACAAAAAAAAAAAATAGGAAATAACAGTGTAACTGCAGGTACAGCGATATTTCATTTGATATTAGACTTCCCATAAAACATAGTTAGATTAAATCGTGTTATAAGTAAATAAGAGATTGAGCATTGATACAGTTGTCAGTTTGTGTCAGTTGAATCATTTTATAAAAAGGATACCACCTATCTGAAGTGAGGTAAAGCTATGCTCGCCGCCTCCAGTCGTCCAGCACCGAGTGAATGAACTTTTTGAAGGCCCAAAACCTTCACACCTCTTATTTCCAATCCCCAAATCTATAACAAACCCCCAAATGCCATTCACGTACTTGCAACTCTTCTGATGTTGCGTCTGTCCATGGACGTTGCGGATTAATTACTGATAATCCTATAATAATAATATATCTTAAATTTTCGCATTCGTTCTTCTGTTTCTCTAAAGTTTAGGCCATATTTTCGTATTGTTCCAATGGCATCCGACTTATAAAGGATCCAAATGTTTTAGTAACCCATTGATTAGCTTATCGGGAGCCATACAGCGAATTTGAAGGTCAAATATTACGTAAATGTTAAATAAAAGATAGATGCGCACTATGTAAAAGGAGATAAGAGTGAAAGTGATTGAATGTTCATACCCGATAAAAAAAATTAAATACAGTACGACTATATGACGATGGTAAGCACCTTTATAAACAATAGGAGAAAATTTAAAAAGATGTAATTCAAAAAGGTAAAATGTTTACAATACTTTAGAAAATAACGTTTTTTTTCGGTCAATTTAAATTCATATAGTTTTATCAGTCAGTGACAGATAGCATCATAAATTCGATATAGTACCTACTGATAATACTGATCAGTAATAATCTGCCAGCTAATGCGTCATAGAGGCAGCCCACAACGAATCGACGTACGATGTTTTAACTGAAAAGTATTTTCCATATTTCCTGTTTATCAAAGAGTTTTATATTTATCCATTTAATATTATCGGAGTTCCATTATAAAAACAAATTGCTTATGTGTCATTTGTAAAGGTTAGCTTTTACGTATGTCTCATAATATGAATCTACAAAACATAGATTACGTCCTAGTTTGTTTAATAGAGTATGCTCAAACACCCTATTTTGAACGAAAAAGACCAAATAAACTGGCCTCAATTACGTGCTGCTTACTAGTTACAGAATTAATTGCCAACCCACCCTGATGAAGCAAAATCGTATATTTTCGTATCAAATTATTTTAGTATTGAGATGATAATTGTCACATGAAATATAGAATACGTCATCATGAGGATTTACATCAAATTATCCCAAATGTATTTATAATAGCTTACTTCAAAGAATTTAAAAAACAAAAAACAATCGCAGAAATTTGGATTACAAAAGGTTGGGTGAAGTAGAAAATTCTAGAAATAAGTAGCATTTCAGGCCTAAATTCAATCCCGCCTCTTAATTTCGACCAGATTTTTTTTCTTTTCTTATTTGCAGCTAATTGAACTGAATGAGTATAAATGAAACTGAAGTAGAAAAGTAATTTCTTTGTTTTGTCATCTACCAATAAAAGGAATAGGAATGCCACAAGGAAGTGGATATCTCAAAGAATTACTTTAGATGATAACATAAATAATATATGTACTACTTATCTTTTATCGCGATAAACGCCAATCGTATGTTATATGTAATAGATTATATGGCTTATCAGACTTCTTTGTAGCAATATATTAAAATATTAAATTTTAAAAAGTACTAATTTGCATACTTTTTCTGGAAATTTTGAACTTTTTGGTGAAATAAAAATAAAATCTGAAGCTCCGCAATAACGCGAAAGTAACTTTCTTCTATATATCTATGTCTAAGATAGAGTTTTTAACAGTAACAATACATACTGCTATTGACAACTTTATATACAGCTTAGGAATAAGTGACCTTATATGTAAATATTTCCTAAATTCCCTTTGAAATATCAAAAAATCACGCTTTAGAATCTATAGCTGGTCAGAAGAACATCACTGCCATAATACTATCGGTATTTCTGATTTTATACACGTTTTTCTCGTAACATTCTCAACTCAATGACCTGACCTGACTCTATACATGACCTGATACGTCAGATAAAAGATATCTCAAAAAATGTATAACATATATGACTGGAACTTAACTAGTGTCAAGCCAAGCTACACAACTAGGTTGATTCAGTAAGCCGACTAACATGATAATCGATAAGGTTTTTTTTGTTGGAATCAATAATTTGATGTCTCAGAAAAATTAAGGTTTTTTTTGTTGGATATATAACATAAACATCATAATAAAAATTAATCGACAGGAAATGGCTTGCGTAATTTTATGATTACAACATTTTCACGTGCGTTAACCCAAATCAATAGGCACATAACAATAGGTATGAACTATATATATACGTTCCACGTCAACGAACCAAATCTTATATATATATTTTTTTATGTGACTCACCTTTCATTAATTATCAACACAATCAGGCTAGAAACCCTTATCTACCCCTATCTGCACTTAAAGTTGTACTTTCAGTACACTGCGATTAGGCATATATTATAATACTATCATATTCAAACTTATCCTTAGACTACACCAACAATACGTAATGTTCATTACTCAAATGAAAATCCCCTAAGACTAAAAGTGCTCTACAAGATAATAGATTAGTCAAAATAATCAATAACTCAGTTGATAACGTTATCTATACTCGACACACCGCAAATGTTTTGCCAGTGTTAAAGTGTCATTCGTAGCGAGAATTATTTTAAGTCTTTTGCGTTATAAAATTTTCTATTTTGTCGTAAATCAATGGCAGATGTGCGTCGTAACGGTGAAACATTGAAAAAGAGTCACTTCGCGAGGCTACACGAAAGAATAATAAACAAATATGAGGAAATGCAAAGAAAAATTGAAAAATCCAAATCAGTTGACTCGCTGTCATCACTCAAAGAAGATTACGTCTATAAGGAACCGAGATACGCGAGCAGTGCTGACATTAATAAGTTCGATACGGCAACCGATATGCCGTTACTAAAAAATAGTGTAAAACATAGTGTCATTGAAGAAGAGGTTCAAAAAAATAGTGCCACATTCCAATACGTTATCGCAAGAGAATGTAGTATTTCCGAATCCGAAGCTCTTACACCGTTCGAAAACAAACATGAAAATGACTACGACTCAGATTCAAATCGGTTTTTTGGAGATGATTTCTGCAGATTGAGTCTCGAATCGTAAGTTGTGTTGTGTCTATATTGATAAGGTCAATATTCTAGTACAGTGTATATGATTGAAAATATAATGAACATAATTTCAGTTTGAACGAAACGACTAAAGAAAGTGATGAATATCCCACTCCAACACACACGCCTCCCCCAGCTATTTCCATACGGGATAAAATTGGTTCACGCATTACAGCTGTAAAAGAAAAACGTCGACAAAAAGAGAAAGAAAAGGAAAAAGAAAAAGAAAAGGACAGTGAGAAGAAACTAACTCGAGACAAAGTGGAAAAGGTTAGTTTTATTGACGTTTTAAATATTTTTTAAACAAATACTTTTAAAAGTACAATGTAATTAAATTAAAATGTTGGTAGAACTCTTTTCACATTTTAATTTAATGTTTTTGTCAATCGGTACGCGTAAAAGGGTTAGTTTATATGGAAATTTAAAAAAGGATTTTTTGTTTTCAGTTTATATTCAGTAATACCACTAAGCAGGACCGAGTAAAATCATTGAAAAGAACAAAAGTGGCAACTGTGACGATCGCTTTAATTGAAGCCACTGGCTTGGAAACAGACATCTTAGAGGAAAAAATTCGTCTATTGTCCTGTCGTTTTCGGTAAGTTGTAGAATTGTTTGTACCTTATTTATTATAGCTTTTTTCGCAACTTCGTCTTTAAAAAACATTATTTAATCCTCGTAGTTTGTTTCGTGAATGACATCATTTTTATCTATGTAAACAAATTGTTATTTGCACAGATAATAAATATAACAATAATCTTTGTTAACCCCATTTTATACCTTTTTATCACTAAGCTATGGGCATCCTGTTCGCCAGTAAAGTAAATTAAAATTTGCGTTATACTAAACTAATTAACCTGTGAAGTTATCATTGGTCAAGAGGTTAAGCGGTAATTATGTCACAAATTTGCATCAGTTATATAATCCAATGTGATAAGATAAAAAATGGTCATTCTCCTATACCGAGGTCAAATGCCAGGCATTCTTTTTTATCATGGGAGCAAGATGTCAGAATAATAATTCAGTAAACAAAAAATGTTAGTAAACAAAGTTTAATAAAAACATAACACGAAATAAGAATATTGTTTTATACACTGAGACAGACAGCAGACAGACAGATACATATGGCAAAAGTATAAGGGTTCTTAGTTGACTATTGAACACTAAAAACATTGACATCGTGAAATAAACCCCCTTATTACAAAACAAGATTTATATTTAGTCCAGGTTTAAACCATTGAGTCGGGTTTTGAATTTTGAATCTTATTGTCATCTACCTTCAATTCGAAATACAAAAACTGGCTTAATGGTTTAGTCCTAGACTAAAGTAAAACCTTGTTTTGTAATTTGGCCGTTAGTGTATAAAATACATTATAATAAATTCGATTAAAAATCAGAAATTCCATATACCTATTTAATGAAACCACCCTCTAAATGGTTACAGATTGGGTTCAGAGAAATACAAGTCAAAAGTCGCAAGAACAAACACATCGAAAGCTAAATGGCAAGAATTGTTCAATTTCAATTTATACGAAGACAATATTGTGGAGCTGTCTCTCTGGGAAAAAGACTTTTGTGTCGGCAGGTATAATCATTTACACAAATTCGTATCCCCATTATTCTTTACAATATTTCAGGTATGAATCCGAAATGAATAATCGTAATATAAAATCTTTTTGTCACCTTTATCCGACGTAACAATAAGGTGTATTTTTTCCTTTTATTGTGCTTTTACTTTAAAATCCCATTTTTGTTCATTTTAAGTATTAATATTTTTATTAGTCATCGATTTCGTGCTTTTTAGGTCTATTTCTATAGTACATACAGTATAGATGAAAGCAGTAGTTTAAAATGTCTGACGAAAAAACTAATCAAATTGTTGTTTCCTATCGTTCGTTATAGTTTTTTAGTACAAAAATATTTAATTATAAATACGGGTGGGTTTGAGACCCTCCTTGTAAATATAGTCTCGTCAAGATACAGGCAAAGATGAAAAAATAACATTTAAATCGCTCTAGAATCACAAAATAAACAAATCAAATTCAAATTAAACTTATTAAAGTCAATATCAATAAATCTTAATCAAATAACGTTCTCAAAATTCAATTTCAGATCAAATATTGACTTAACCGAAATGGAAAGAGAGAGGACACATAAAATGCGCATCAAATTGGAGGGCGAAGCAGGAAATGTGGAAATATTTCTACTTCTAACAATAACTGGTTTCTCAATTATTAGTCTTGACGATTTTCAAGAAACTCAGAGAAGATTAACACAGGGCCTAGAAAAATCTGTAAGTGCTATTATTATGATATTTATCTGTAAGCAAAACGATTCAATCATAATGACAAAATATTGTTATCATTACTGCAAAATAATAATAGATATCTAAGAAATCTTACCTACACTAAATAGGTGTGTACTATGCGTATGTAGCAGGTGTTATATTTAGGTAAAATAACAGATAACAAAAAAATATAGGTATGAGATGTCAACGGCTTAGTTCACTAATACTAATATGACAATATCTTAGCAAAATATTTAACCTATTGGAGTATTTATTAACAAAAACAACACACGAATCAAAGGTCGGAACGCAATGGTTGCGAGATATTTGTTTTTAATCGCGTTTTAGAATCTGAGTCTCGATTTGAGTGAAATAGCACACTTATATCTCTTTTAAATTATCTTTAAAAAAACACGGAAATCAAGAACCTTATTTTAATTTATTTTATGTATTAAAAAGTTTAAATAATTTCGCATTTTTGATTAAAGTAATTTCTGGGCTGCAATTACTGGTTCTATTCCTGCATCGATCAGCCATATACCTTATAAAAGATAGCTTGATCTCTGCGACATGCGTCAAACTGCCATTCCTAGGGTTGTCATGGTACAAAAAAATATCGATATTAATTTTCGACGTTTCTTACTTATCGATGCTAAAATTATATGTTTAATTGGAATATAATTTGGGTACTGAAATGAAACGAATATTTTAATCTAAGATAAATTTATTCCAGAGGAATACACCCCAAATCTATATCCGAATCACTTTCAGAATGTCCCGAAACCCAAAGTTGTCGAAAGAATTTTACATGAGTAGGTTACTATTTAAATTTTATTTACTCACTATTGTAAATAATGATATTATTTTAAAATATACAATAAAATGAAATGATAAATTAATCGATAGTTTATAGTTTGTGGTCACGATGATTCATCACTCATCACTAATTAGGTCAGCATGCCCATAAAGTATGACATTGACAGGTACGTTTCTCCGTACTGTTAAATTCAGAACTTCATAGGCGCGATTTTACTGACAGCTGTCCCAGAGATCAAGCTATCTTTTACTAAGTGTAATTTCGTTAATGATAACAAAACGTAGTATAATATACTAAGTAATAAAAATGATATTTTATTCCAGTCTAAATCAAAATGTGAATCTCCAGGAGTAGGCAGTTTGACTGTTATAGTGTACGGTGCTAAAGGACTAGCGGGCAACGAGTGCCATTGCGTTTTGGAAATCGACAATGAAAGAGTACAGACGCATACTGAATTCAAAACTAATGACCCTAACTGGATGAAGATCTTTACTTTGTAAGTGGACCTCTAGAATTATACTCTATGGACCTTTCTTAAAACCTCTGACGAATTGCTTGTTCAGAAAGTTTATTATCAGCCTGTAAATATCTCACTGCTGGGAAAATACATGGAGGACGAATGAGCATTATTTTTTTACTACCTTTTATCAGCATGATAGTACCCCACTGCTAAGCAAATGCCTCTTGTCACACAGAAAAGTTTTGAGCATTTAAAGTTTGCTCCAGGCGGATTGGCAACTTCAAACCTATAATTATTAATAGCTTATAATGAGAAGTTAAGTTAAGATGTTTTCCTGCACCATATATCAGTGATGTCTAAATAATCTTAGCAACAATATTACATACAACTTAATATTCCAAAAAAGTGACATTGGTGTCATGCATAAATGTACCACGACTGAAAGTAATACTATTATTATTTAGGTCTTATCAACATCCCACCACTGTCCGACTAAATGAAGGCCTCCAGTTCAAAAGAGCAAGCAAAATATCTACACTTCATTTCAGCCTGTCAAAATATCTACACTTGAAAAGCATGTAGGGCTTTCTGGAGAAAATGAAATTTTATAGAAATTATTACGACTCGGTCTCTCCTATAGTCAGCATATACAACATCACCTAGAAGAGCAGGAGAGATGAAAAAAGTTATTTTATGTAGTACAGGGCTTGATAGCTATTAGACATCAAATTATCACCAATTTTTTTCTGTTTCTAGTGAAGTGACGGACATCACCTCAATCCTAGACATATCCATCCATGACGAGAAGAAATCAGAAGACGTAGGGTGTCTCTCATTACCTTTGCTTCATATCAAAAGTGGTGAGAAGAAATGGTACGCCCTAAAGGACTCTAGTCTAAGAGATAGAGCTAAAGGGCATAACCCAAGGATATTGCTGGAAATGAACCTTAGTTGGAAACTTGTAAGTATAGACGTGAAAGTGCATCTTTTTGTGCTGATTAAAGGTTGGTTTTTGATTGACGTGTACAATTTATGACGGTGGTGTGAGAAACCAAACATCTCCACACTTTGTATATCATTATCATTGGGTATCCTATTTAATACAATTCTGTTCTATGTTCCATAAACCATTTTCTAATAATGTAGGTACTTGTTTATCCGGGTGTATCAATATTGGTCAGGGGCAAGGGCCATAGTATTTCCATAGTTATCATGCCTACTAATAGTACCACCTATAGTATTTTTTTACACATTTGATAATAGTCTTGTATCAATCCGTGACTGTCCTTCCACAATGCATCTAAGAATAATAACCGGCTAATGTCCCATCACATTTAGGCCAAAATTGTTCAACGGGCCTCTGCGAGTTGGGTTCGGCTTCTCGTGCGCCTTTCAAAGATCCGAGATAAAGCGGTTTCGTGAAAACAAATAAAAAAAAGTACAATAGATACTTATATATTACTTATCTATAAATAACGACTTACTCGCGTGAATTAACAGAGAAAACCTCAACTAGTTTCAAGTCACAGTGGAACTCTTATTTATGGATAGCGTACGCGTCGCGGCGCCGCCCGACGTCAATTTCGCGAATACTAAGACTAATTGACATAAATTTAGTAGATCTCACGATATGTTACTAAACATAAAAAATACCACTTATTTACCCTACTAGTAAGTAAACTTGCCACAACACAATCAACGCGTCACAATTCAAACATTTCACCGTTCATTATGATGATTTGAACTGAAAATTTAATTTCAAGATACTAAATGATTTGCATCGGCAGCCCCGATGCGGCTAAATCAACATCATTTGCTAAACTGGAAACTGATCCCAAATACCAGATAACGAGGCGTAAACTAATTATTAATTAAGAGTGTATTGCATTGGAGCAATGTTTTTCAACTTTTCAGCCAGCAAACTTGTTAAAATAGCCGTTCAATCAATCAGCTAGCCCTTTTATCAGAGTACAATTTGAGTACCTATTTATTTTCGATGGCGATTCCTTCTGTACAGTTCACAGTAGAACTGTGAACTGTACAGAAATCGAACCTAACTGGGTTTCATGTCATTCCCTTCATCCTTCAACTTGCACACAGTCTGAATAAGAAATTTTGCCATTCAATTAAACGACTAGTCACTCAGGCCGAAAGTAGGATGGCTAATTCAATTATGAGGCTGCGATAAAAAGTAGCCGGTGTAAATCTATCTAAAAACCAAATTTCAATCTAATCTGTCTGTCCGTTTTTCCTTAAACGAACAAAAAACATGCATCTACACATTCTCGCAAATTTTCACATATACCTATGTATAATATTAGTAGTATGTTTGCATTTTTAATCCTTCTATGTTATATCAACGAATGAAAATTTTGAACATTCAAAATGCAATACATAGTATCATCAGACCTGAGACCCTCTACAGCAAATGGATACGAAAACGAAATAGTAGGTGTATTTTCCTTATAAAACTATCTGTCTGGCTGGACAGGCGAAAAATAAGGCAAACAGGAAAACGTGACACAATAAGGACCAAGATAATGAGAAGGAGCATTTGTGAGAAACTAATTTCTCTTTGTATAACTTTCACAATATTACCACCTAGTGGTTATTTTAATTAATTAGTATTGTCTTTTTTAAAGTTACGTAGCGAAATGGCAACGGAAACCTTATAGATTCAAACTTGTCTGTCTGGCTGTCTGCATTCCAATACCATTAAAGCTATACGGTTGCAAATAGATATAGATAGTTAGATATAGTCAAATGTGAACTGCATTAAGATTTTGATATTTGAGTTTCTTCGTCATTCTTCCATTCGAAATGAGAATTCAAATCTGAGAATTCGAATCTTGAACGAGCTCCTAGCTTCACTGATGAACTGACTAACATGACATTTTTGGTTTAGTTGGAATAAATGATTTTTATTTGATTTCATACAAAATCTATCCTATATAACTAAAACTGATACTCAAAAATTTTTGTTGATGACGTTGATGAAATTCCTTTACAGTAATGCCTATGTCTTTTACTTTTCAGATGCCTGCATCGATCCGTGTAATAAACCCGAAAGAAGTTAAATATCTAGAAGCCAAACCCAAATTAGATCGGCACACGTTTTCAAAGAACTTAGCGAGAGCAAAAGTTGTTTTTAATTGGACATTAGATTCTTTCAGTGTTATGAAGTAAGTTTTACAAAGATTTTATATATGAATACTTCTCCAAGAATCTCTAATTTTTGCTGTGTATATGTGAAATGCTATTAACGTGCCAGGAAAATGTGTGTCTTTTTTGAGTTGCGAAAATATATGTCTTCTACAGCCCTGGGTCGGGCGAAAGGGAATGTCAGACGCTTACTAAGTAAAAACTACCTCGTTCCTTCTCCAGCAACCATGGCTGGACAAAAGTACTGCCAAGTCCTTACCAACGTCAACAGGTCTACAAATGATTTTAGATATAAACAAATGATTTAAGCTATCACCAAACGGCAGCTTTATTCTTCAGCAACCAACAGTTTGAGTTCACGTAAAAAAAATTCACTCAGTCTAAACAGTTGTTTATCATTCAGAAAAAAAAATTAAGCTTGACTTTGTTGACAATACCTGGTATTACACAAAATTATATGGTTTTTATAAAACTATTAATAATTAATTTTAACTGTGGGAGAGCCATGCTCTGGCATGAATGGGTCAGCTCGACCGGGGGAATATGTCGTTACAGAAAACCAGCGTGCATTTTGTTTCACCCTATGAGTTTGGTTACCAGAGATGCTCCTGATGCTCCATGCCTGTAATTCCGAAACCCTTTGATTCCTAAATCACTGCTCCTTAAAGTGCTGTCAATAACTTATTTGAAGTTACGAGTATTCATGGGTAGCACCAATTGCTTCCAATGAGATTGTCTATCTGCTTGTCCGCGTCAGTATAACAAACCAAAAAAATCCTCTCCAGCCCTTGGCCGGTTCAATAGCCCAACCATCAATACTAATACAATGAAACTGTAGAATTAGTTTGTACGTTTGAACGCGCTAATACGCGAAGCTACTGGTTCGAATTGAACAATTATTTGTGTGTGTTTGTTAGTCCCTTTATCGAGTAAGGCTATAAAGCATCATGCTACGATCTGAAGGAGCAGAACAGCGAGTGAAACCACGCGGGAGTAGCTAGTATTACTGTCACACTGAAAATATAATTTTTATTGACTTATCCGCATACCAAATAGCTGTGCAGACTGCACATAACGTACTTACTGTGTTCTTTAAAAACGAGAAAATATGAAGTCAAAACTGAAAACGTGTTAAAATAAAATTACAAACTAAACTACTTGCAGCGAAAACTTCGCATTTAGCAAGTGTCGGCAAATTCTTACTAAGTTTGCACTTTCCAACTTGAATTTTCTACCACACTAAGACCGCCACTTATTGGCTTTGATCAGCTCGTTTCTGCTAAATGCTGGTTCAGTTTTAGACTTAATTGGAAAGAGATTATTACGAACAGTTTTTTACTTAACCTTCTGCACACGGTACAAAAGTATACCTACGTTTTTGGCACTTAACGTGGGTAATTTTAGTTTTGGTATCGTAAGAGCTGACTGTGGAAATGTGTTTGATAGCAATGGGTCAGCAGCGGTCTTTAAAAAACCCCAAAATCGTTTAAACTGCGCTTGCTAAAGAGAGGGTTCATAGTCCGGACATATTATACGCAGTTTCTGTTGAAAACTACAAAAAAAAATACCCAAACGAAGCGTTCTAAATAAAAAATTAAAAAAAAAAGAAATCACAGTTACGTTTTATATTAACAGTGTATAAAACCTATGTAACCAGAAAGTGACGAAATTTTTTTATATTTGCGAAAAATATTTTTAATATTTTCATCTTTTCTAGAACGTGTTTTGAATGGGAATCAACGAAAGTTAATGTAATAGCATTGACAATATGGCTGCTCTTCTGTTGGTTCTTCAAAATTTGGATGCTGCCTCTAATATTGCTCATACCCTTCTTTTGGTATCGACCTCCGAAATATTTTCTTGTTCGATGTAAGTATTTCTTATACATTTCCCTCAACAGTCTTCTGTATAAAACGGTTTAAAGAAGAAAAGAAAAAGAAAAGATATCTAGAAAAGACATTTGAATCTAAATGCATTTTTTTTTATATTAAGGGATTACCAACGAACGGACAGATCACCTGATGGTTAGCAATCGGATTTAAAACAATAGGTGAAAATCGGACTTAGAAAGTGTTTTGGATATAACAATTAGATAGAAGATAAAGACCTCAATAATCCTGTATTAATTGATAACTTTCATTGTCATCAGCACAAATATGAAGTAATGTATGACGATGTGAAATGCTACACTTCATATTTAAAATTTCCTTAAATTCACTACACCGAACCTCTTTTTACGAAAAAACCAAAAAGCCTTTTTTAATCTATACCTACTATGTAATTAGTTCGCGTCCACAGCCGCGGGCCCACAAAAAGTGGACCTTTTTTCTCGTACTAACTTTTGTATGTATGTATCAAGATAGTGTACAAATTAGTCCAGTTTCCGAGTCCAACAATGTACCAGAAATTTCTTAGATAAAATATACACCAGAATGATGTCTTCATAAAATTATCTTCCGCTAAAGTTTTACTGTTACAAAGCATACTCAATGCCTCATAAAAGTAACTAGCGCCAGGTAAGATTATCTGGAACTAATTGGGATTGATTTTTGTAACGTTCCGTTTTTTCCATATACGTACTATAATAACCCATTGAATTATTCGATAATCCGGTATTCATATATTATTGTACTTTATTTCAGGGAAAGACTACTTTCTGAAAAGAAAGGGTCCATTAGAAGAAGAAGGAAAGAAAGAGAAGGCAAGCCTTTAACTTTATTTATAGCTTTAAAAATACGGTATTGGTCCTGATGGTAAGCAATCAACGTCGACCATGGACACTACCTACACCAGACGAGTTACGACTACGTTGTCGATATTTTAGGCATTAGGGATTTGGCCCTCCCATATCCCTAATCCTAATAATCCCTTTTGGGGATTTAAGGATTGGGGGAAGAGAAGTATTGGGTCACCTCTAACCTCACTCACACGGCGAAACACAACGGTGTGGTTGTTTCACGCCGGTTTTCTGTAAGGACATGGTATAATTCCGGTCGAGCCGACCCATTCGTGCATGGCTCTCCCACACTTAAAACTTTTCTATACCGGTGTCGGTTTAATAAGCAAACAGTTACAACCCTACATAGTTTGCAAAAAAATAAAAACTTACAATACCTACCTACATTTGTTCACAATTAGTCGACGTTCAAGCAATTAAATCTCGGTCTATTTTAATTCGAAGACTAAGCGACAAAAAAGGCTAACATAACATTTTTAATTACAGGAAGAGAAAAAAGAATCGCTGAGACAGAAAATAAACAGCTTGCAAGAAATGGTGCAAAGTGTACAGAACTTTATCGGTGCATTCGCTAATCTCGGCGAAAGTATTAAAAAGTAAGTAAAGTATAGCTCTTTAAGACTTTTTACTTGTACTTAGTACTTAGTACCAGAGTTTTTATGGGATAGGCATCTGCTGACGGTAAGCAATATTGGCGCCACCATTTTGTTTGAGGGGTAATGAGAAGGGGGATTTGAGAATTGCATATGTCAGGGGATCCTATCTATCCTCCGAGACCCTAATCTTGATAAGGCAGGCATCACACTCTCCTCTGGGATTGCGAGTGTGCGCCGATGGCTTACCATCAGGTAATAATCCTTCTGCTCGTTTGCCGACCTATCACTTAAAAAAGCCCTTTTCCCGAATTGGACCCGAAACCTCGGCAGTTTCCCTTGCGACTCGCGACTGACGCGAGTACTCAACTGACTTAGCAGCTACAGTAATAAAATACTTAATAGCTGTAATAATGTCCGCTATTAGACGTAATTTGTCATACTGACACCATTCTATTGGTAGTTCGTCGTTGTGAGCTTAGCAAAATGTGCTTTTAATAACTGCTGTCCAAATGAGGTCATTATATGGCACTACGAGTTCATTCTGATTTCAAATAAAAAAACTGGTGATCGACAAAAAGAAAAGTAAATTAATTTTTTTTTCAAATGAGTAAGTAAGTAATAGATTAAAAAATGTAGGAGGCATATTTATTCAGTTTTGTACCAAAAATAATGAGGCTCAAATAAACAAAATTATACCTACGTGCAACGTAACATGAAACCAAAACACCAATCTGACAGCTTATTACCTTGCAGACAATTTTACTAGGTATGTCAATGAAATTAGGTTTATTTTAGCAAATGTGTTTAAATATTTATTTCTAAATCTAATAAAAATATTATTTTTTTTCAGTCTGTTCAACTTCACAGTCCCGTTTCTCAGTCTGTTGGCGATATTCATGATACTTGTAGTGGCTTTCGTAATGTTTATGATCCCTACAAAATACATATTTATGATTTGGGGTAAGTTCGACTCTATTTTAAGCTACCTATAGATTGTTTTTGTTTATTATAGAAATTATAATATAGGTGATTTATTCTATTTTCAAGGTATTTATTAGGTACTTATTTATATTATATAAATATTAAATAAATGTTGTGACATTGACTACCTATAATTTTAAGAATCGTATAATTTGATTTTAATCATTTAATCAATATGACAAGTTCTGCCTGGTTTTTATAACTTTTAATATAGGTATGAAAAATTATCTACCCAAGAAAGAATTTTGGCAATCCGACCAGCGGTTCCAAAGATTACCCCATACATACAAACTTGAAAATTTTACATCTTGAAAATATTACGTAGTATAGATAGTAATTACGAAAGAATGTCGAGTCTTTTGTGAATCCACAACCCACATAATGTACTTACTATACATATAATTACTCAAAGAACTCAAAATAACCTGAATTTCAACTGCATATAACTTTAAACCTAAATTCAACACAGTTACGATTGAAATTACAACACCACAATTTATATAAACCAATATTCAACAATTACAGGTATCCACAAGTTTACAAGAAAAATACTTCGGCCAAATCGAGTTCCGAACAATGAAATACTTGATCTATTGTCCAGAGTACCTAATGACGAAATATTGGTAAGAAATTGCATCAATTATATTACAACAATATTTTCATAGTAAATAATTTAATATAATGAAGTTCTGAATATAAAAGAGAATGGAATATCAATCGTATTTTATTTATTTGTAAGCTGGAGGACAAATTTTAATTGCTTTATTATTTCTTTATTGACGATATTATTTGTATATGCAAGTTAATTTTTGTTGCACTTTATATTCCAATTTTTTTATGTTCTTAATTATATATTCCAAAATCAGGATATCACACATGGTCAATATTAATTTTTAATCTAAATGAAATATTACGTTAGATCACATTTTGTTGGCCATTTAATAAGGGGTGCGCTTATTATAGAGTTTCTTGCTCGTTCTTCTCCATTCGAATCTAGAATTTGGAACGAGCACCTACCTAGCTTCACTGACGAACAGACTGACAGACTACTATTCTATTTTGTCGTTTTAAAAGTACCTATGTGGTTTAAATGATTTTGACTTATGTGTTATGTGGTATGGTTTATGTGGAAGAAATGATTTTGACTTTGACTTTATGGCGTGCGTAAGGTTAATAAGGGTTGCGCTTATTTGGTTCCAAGATAGTACTAGGGTTTTTTTTTTAATTGAAATACCATCAACATGGACATCACGGTCTTGCATTCGCACATGCCTTCTCAAGAACTAAGAATCATGCAAGTTATTGAAGTCTATATTTATTTAGTTCACTGCAATATAAATTATTTTTCTCTAATTTCAGTTAAACTGGGAAGAGATCCCGTTAGAAGAAGTACCCGAAGAAGATGTGATAAAATAATGATCTGATAGTTTTAATTTAACATACATAATAAATCATTTTAATTAATATTAATTTTAAATTGTAAATTGTAAATATTCAACAAGAAATATTGTGATTCTAATTTAATTTATGAGCTAATTTTGACATTATTTTATACGTTAGTATAAGTAAGTTGTAAATACCTAATATAAATAAAATCATCGTTATTATTTATTGTACACGGCTGGTTATTGGCAAATTTTCCGTTACCCCCGTCATCATCACCAACAATGCCAACTATGGTATTTTTTTTTGTGAGAGAAAAATCATCAAATGACTTCTCCCGCCCAGGGCCAGGCGGGAGGGAGTGTCAGACTCTTACTGACTAAAAACCCCCCTGTTCCTTCTCCTGCTCTGTGCCGAGGTCGCGGTGCCTCATTGCGCTTACCCCGCAACCCCGGCAACTATGGTATAAATACTCCTTTATATGTATAATGTTTGCTAAAATCTCACCGTTTGCAAAGGCTTTTTCACAAAACACAAAAATATTTTTTATTTCTATCATGAACTCAGAAATAACGTCGCAATGGCTCAAAACTTGTCAGACCCGAGCGTATGGCTAGCGTTCCACGCGGACTCAAGGAAAAGGAATGGATTGGAGTTTAGCCGTCGTAGATTTACGTCAGTAAGATTCTGACACTCCCTCCGCTCCACCCAATGCCAGAGAAGTCATTTTCTTATTATATTCCTCAAAAAAACCTATTCATAGTAGTTTTTTTATATTATTATAATAATAGGTAGGTAATGTTACTTACATACGTTAACCAAACTTCATGTAAGAGTTTTCTAGAATGTTCCCCCCGTAAGATAGCAGCGCTGTAACCTCAGGTCCAACTACCTGTCAAAACACATACACGATTTATATTTTTCGATCATTTTTTGGTTTATTTATTCTTAAAAACATTACAAACGGAATACTTATTGTTTTCCAAAATGCCACACACATAGTCATTGCACAACAGCAAAATGCAGCCTATGTGTGTAAATAAAAAAGGAGGACATAAGTTCCCTACAGAAGATAAGTCGATTAAAACAGTGGCTTGTAAACATAGTAAAATCAATAATACTTCCAAATAGGTACATAAAATTTTACTAAAATAATAATACGTTCGGTAAGAATCTGTGCTATCTGACAGCTGTTAGGACCTGACGCATACGAAGCGCCGCCTGGCGGCAGAAAAAGTATCGAAAACCCTCACTGGTAGATAAAAGATAAAATTTCAAAAACTAATCACCAGATGGAGCCCTGTCTAATCGTACAATGTTACTTTTCAAATTTGCTCTCAAGAGATGGCGCTAGTGAGACACAACGTCCGACATCCAATTCGCTTAGCCGTCATACTTTAACTGACTAATCTAAATATCAAATAGTGTAAAAACTAAAGGGGAATAATAAATAGGTAATACAATACATTACTTGTCCAAAAAACACATAAGTATTGTGTAGGTAGGCATATTCGTCTGATAATAAATATTGACCTAATTACGTTGACAATCGTAAAATATATTGTCATTATACATTACGACTACAACAATCCGATCTGTTTAAAAAGTCCGGGAACTACAAAGACTTAATATTACAAAGGCCTTAATGGCTGAGATTATTATTCATCCTGTTCTTTTTCTGAGAAAATTAATTAATATCTCATAATGAAATATTAATTTGAAAATTTATATTAAAATGCATTACTTATTTTTTTTAAGTGTTAATGCCATGCTTCAGCGCGAAACTGTCACCTCGATCGGAGATATACGAGCGCCTCAGAGAAGACCGGCTGAAGTGAAGAATCGCTTGCTTTGTGATTTGTCATGTGAGTGAGTTCCACGGAGGCTCAATTCTTTCCCTCACATCTTCCAATCCTCAAATCCCTTATAACCCCCAAAATTGCAGGTATACATGGGTGGCGCCGTTTGCTTTCCATCAGGTGATCCGTTGGCTTTTATTCCACGTCCACACCTTTAAAAAACTTTATCGAAGTACCCCATAATTTTAACGGGTAAATAAGAAATCCATTTCTAACCACTTTCTATATCTATTTGGTGTGTTCAGTTTTCTATACTTCATCATACCTCCCTCAAAGTCCAGGTTTCCTCACAATAACAGCTGTAAGACCCCTCTTTGAGGAATGGCTTGAAAAACGCTACGGCATCCTCACCTTCCGCCTGACGCAAATACTTAACGGGCACGACACCTTCGGTTCCTGTTTCGAATCCAGTGGGATGAAACCCCCCTCACTATGTTTTCCTTCACCTTATGTCTAAATAAAGTAGTGTCTAAATAATCTTAGAAAGTACATGTATCTCAAAAAAAGACATGTTGGTACTTACCATTTTTCATTGATGATAAGCTGGTGCCGTAAACTCTCTAGGCTGCAATTACGATATTTTGAATATTTGATTGTTTGATTGAAATCCCGAACAAACGTTGAAACTCTATAGATTTTGATAATTCGAAAAATGAATTGAAATAAGTTACTTGTCAATTATTGTGGGCGTGGGAAATATTTATTGAACGCCGATTAACGAATCGGCGTTCAATAAATATTTCCCACTAAAAGAATCTTTTTAAAAATTGTCTGTAACCTGATAAGCCATATCCAACTTTATGGTTTTGCATTAAATCCGAAAACCTAATAAACTGATATAAAATAATAACGTGACTTCAACATCATACGCTGAACATTATAAATTAGATATCGACAAATCTGACCAATTAACATAATGATTACACGTATCTTTGAAATAATATCACAAATGTAATGTGTCATTGGCTGTGGTTGTACGTAAGAGGCGTGTTTAATATTTCCCGAAGGTCAAAGGGGTAGGTAAAAATACACATATTAAAAGTAATACCCGTTTTTAGATAATTCTGCAAACTTTATAGGCATTTACTCGGCACAGTGACATAATAAGTGTGGGAGAGCTATGCTCATGCATGCATGCATGAATGGGTCAGCACGTCTTCGCAGAAAACCAGCTTAAAACAACCACAGGGTTGTATGTATTTTGCAGTATGAGTCTGGTTACCGGAAGCTGAATTCTTCTCTGCCTATGAATCTGTCCCCAATCCCTGAATCTCCAAAACCCCTAATCCCTAAAGATCGGCAACCCACTCGTAACTCGTCTGTTGTTGCGGGTGTCCATGGACGCTTTGGACATTATGGTCTTCAAGTTTTTATAAAACATAATAGAAAATACTGAGCCGATTTTAATTAAACTTGGTTTAACAAAATGTAGTACTACAATATTTCACTGTTTAAATAAATAATTACGAACATTCTCGAAAAAGAGTTTTCGAACACACACATTTTTATGTGTCCTTAAAAATCAAGGAAAACTTGTTACTCATATATTTATTTGAAAATGTAACTTATTATACTGTGCGTAATAGTATGTGTAACAAGTACCTATTTAAAAAGTCTACTCACGAAAACCTCTTTAGTTACGTTAGAACAATTTTTGGGCTGCCTACTGTTCAGGTTCTGATTGTAAAGTAAAAAATGTTGCCTGGCATTTTGCAACAGTACCAATAACGTAATGATATGCAACTCCTTAAGATTTTCGAAAATAATAAAAAAAATATGTATACAGATTATCCCGACCCTAGTAAATTTACCCGACGGAACTAAACTCAATTCTAACCTTCGAGCAAGGGGTTATCCCTTGTTTAGTAGCGCCTTAAATTTCAAATTAATTTTTAATTTGTTGCTTGCATGCAACAATTCCTTTTTATTTATAGATGATTATTATAATTAATTAATAGAAAAGGAGGAGTAGGAAATTCCATCAAACATAAAAATATTAAATAAAACTACCTACTCTTGCACGGTTTTACCCGCTGCTCCATTTGACCGTAGCGTGATGTTTTATAGCCTATAGCACTTGGGAACATTGTAGCTATCTATGAGTGAAAGAATTTTAGCAATCTGACCAGCGATTTCAAATATTACCCCCTACATACAAACTTACAAAATTTACCTCTTTATAATATTAGTATAGATAATTAATGTAAATTATTTTTTTAATAATTATTTTTCCCTATTATTAATTAATAGAAACGGAAGAGGAAGAAATTCCCTGAAAAATGAAAATATTAAATAAAAATGTACGTAAAAGGTAGGTATATAGCACCGTATAATAATAAACTATCAATAAATGAAAAATTGCAATCAATCTCAATTTGTTGCCTTTCCAATAAAGCAACGATCGCTACAGTTTCCCGAGTCGATTTATTAATTTTATTTACTTCTCTAACGATACACTTGGGATCTCTCCCGGGTTCGACCGACATTCATTCACCTATTATGAATGTTGACAAATGATCTTTGTACATATACTAAGTAAATAGAATTTAAATGCGCTTGTGGCTAATTTGCGACCGGTCCGGCCTTATTACCTAGAGACTCATATATCTGTGTATCGAGAATTGTATGGAGCAAATTACTTATGGATTAAACATGGCAACATTGTTAGCCATAATATTATATACAAATAATAATAATAACAAACAATGGTCGCGCCCGCTCTCAAGTAGGTACATTTGTGACTTTTTCCAAGTTATATGTACTTTCTATAATTATTTAGACACCACTGACGTATGGTGTAGTAAAACATAGTAAGGAAACCTGGACTTTATAAATTTTAAGAGTCAAGTCGCCGAATCGTCTTGAGTAAGCGTGGTGATAAATGTTCAAAGTCTCAAACCGATGAGAAGAGGCCTTTGCTCAGCAGTGGGCACTTATAGGTTGATGATGTATGTTGTGTCACCATTATAGTCTTAATTATTGCACACAACATAAAGGGTCATACTATATCATTTAATTAGGTTTATGTGTGTTGTTCGCAATTTTCAACTTTTATAATGAGGGCCATTCGAATAAATTGTGAATGAATGTTGTCAAGAGCGAGGGTACTGTTGATATCTGTGAAAACTAATGTGAAAACCTCGTGTTTTGAGACTATGTTTTTACGTTTATTTTGTGGTGCAATTTTTTCAAATGGTAACGTGAAGTTAAGAGAAATATCTTCAATTTTTTTTCTATCTGGTAGAACGGCAAACTAACAGGCGGATTACCTGATGGTAAGCAATCAGCGGTGTCCACGGATACCCGCAACAATGGAAGAGTTACGAGTGCGTTGCCAACCTTTTAAGGATTTAGGGATTGGGGAGGGAAAGGATTGGGTCTCCGGTAACTTCACTCACACGGCGAAACACAACGCTGTAGTTGTTTCACGGCGGTTTTTTGAGAAGCCGTGGTATCACTCCGGTCGAGTCGAAGCATGGCTCTCCCACACACAAATAAAATTATTAAAGACGGCGACGGCTTGTGATAAAAATAATTAAAGAAAGCAGGTTACTTAAAAATACCATTATATTTTATATTCTAAATAATATATTATATAACTTATTTACAATAAATCACAATAATCACGAGAACTTACACATATACATTAAATATACGTTTATAAATTCAATTCGTATGTAGGTATAATTCTTAAAATAATCACAGGTCAACTGACATTTGTACAGTTTTACACTTAATTATAAAATTAAATATTAATAAAATATAATATTTAAACTATCAAATCTTTTCCGAGTCTGTCAATCTCGTTCGCAAAATAGACCATATCTTTGTGGTCTAGAGCTGAGTTTTGAAAAACTATACGGAAGAAGTTGACGAGGTCACCTTGAGGTTGGTAAGTGACCATCATGCTTCCTTCCTTTATCATTCGCTCTTTTATTTTGGGGGCGACCTTGTGCAGCCTTTCTTTGTAGTCGGGTTCGTTCTCGCGACCACGGAGAGAACGGGGTATGTACCAAAACATGATATTTGTGCACTCTGGCTTCTCTATGACAAGTTGGAAACCTTCTCTCTGCCGAATGTGGTCGGTGAAGAACCTGGCGTTATCGAACAATGTATCAATATGCTTCTCAAAACCTTCGGATCCTTTAGCTTTCCACATGAACCAGAATTTGAGAACATCAGCCCTCCTTCCGCACTGTATATGTTTGTCTCCCGTGTCGTAAGATGTGTCGTAAAATTTGTCCTTCTGGAAGAGGTACTTGGCGTTGCTTGAATGACAATCTTTGAGGACATTCTTGTGTTTAATTAGGAAGGTGGAGCACTGTTGTGGCGCCGCCAAGAGCTTGTGAGGGTTCCACGTCACCGAGTCCGCCCTGCGGAATTGTTTGAAATGTTAACGTTACTTTGTTACGTCGTGTTTTGTTTTGTTTTGCATTTTAATAAATATACAAGGGAAACTGGTGACGTTGCTTGTGAATAATATTACGTTCAAAATAAAATTGATTCAAGACAATTGAAAATAAGTTTTAAATAGTTGTTAAATTATAATTTATCAGGAAATAATTTCCAATGTATTTTTGTTTATCGCTACAAAAATGTTTTACTTACAGCTCAATTCCATTAAGGAGATGTCTGTGCTTTTTGGACATTAAGGCGCCGCCGCCCCACGCGGCATCAACGTGCAGCCACAAATTGTACTTCTTGCACACTGCAGCAATTTCCACCAGGGGATCAAAGGCTCCATACACAGTAGTACCAGCTGTAGCCGTGACCAGGAAAGGACTAGCTCCATCCTCAATAGCGCAAGCGATTTTCAACTCTAAATCTTCAACGATAATCTTTCCATTGATATCAGTTTTCACCATGATGCAGTTGTCTTCGCCAATGCCCATGAATGTGGCCAGTTTTTTCGTGGAATAATGAGCTAGCTCTGACGTGAAGAGCACGAGCCGTGGTACTGCGTACACGCCTTTGGTCTGTAAAAAACAACTTTTGTTAAAATTGTCCTAATAGCTGACAATCTGACATTAGTCGCATGGTTTTCAAGGACCTTTCACGACTGGGTCGGCTCGACTGGAGTGATTACCACAGCTTTACAGAAAGCCGGCATGAAACAACCACAGTATTGTGATTCGCTGTGTGAGTGAAGTTACCGGCGGCCCCTTCCTTCTCCCTCTTCCCATCCCTTCCCAATCTTTAAATATCGACCCTTTTCCCTACAAGGCCGGCAACGCACTCATAACTCCTTTGATGTCGCGGGTGTCCATGGGCGGCGCTGATTACTTACCATCAAGTAATCCGCTTGTTTGCCGATCTATACCATAAAAAAATATTAAGACCGTGATGACTATACCGCTTTATAACATGTAAGCACGATACAGAAAGACAATTAACAATGTTGAAAACAATAGAAACATAATTTCATTTAATAGTTTTAACAAAAAAAAAATACAAAATCTGTATCTAAATGAACCAATTACGACTGCTCACACAAGAAGATCATTAGGCATGAAATATTTTAATTAATAAAACTTTTAATTGACAACTTTTGTTCTAGGGACACTATTTAATACGTTTTAACAAAGATTTTCAAATAAAATCACTGTGTTTCAGCACTTTAAATAATTATGTGCTCGTCTATTGAAATTAATAATTGGCTTCGTTTTTTTTTTTAATATTCGTAGAATAAATAAAAAAAAATATTGACAGACGGACAGCTTTTATTAAAAGGAGGCTAGTTGTCAAATGAGTTCTATAGCCCTGGCTGGGACAAGGGAGTTTTTTAAATCTTACTGGCTGAAACCCCGCCTGTTCCTTCTCCAGATCTAGGCCAAGGCCGCACTATATAGGTATTGGCGCGTTTCATTTTATTTTTGCATTTAAATCCCGCTCTGAACAACTCTTTGTGTGATCCACAAATTGTTATTCCGGGGCTGGATGAAATTGGTTGATGAACGTTGAACTTAGAAAAAAAAATTGTACCTACTTAAAAATCTACTTTAAAAAAAAACTTTTACAATTAATGGATTTAAAATAAACTTTTTTTTATTAAACAATTAATCACAATATGGTCATCCTAACTTAGTGCCAATATATGGGGCAATTTGTTTTAAAAACGATCTATCATCCTTTTCAAGATTATGCGGAAATGATAATATTTAACAATACTTAAATCCTTAATAGATACCTATCAAACTATCGAAAGTAATTAAGTGATTAAGAATTGATAAAGAATGCATGTGAGTACCCACTGGTTTTTCTGAATTTGTTTTTATCTTTTTATCTAAGTAGGTACCTAACAGTCGTGTAAGATTAGTCACAGTCATATTTGTGCCTTAAGCTTAAGTGTGAGAGAGCCATGCTTACACGAACGGGTCGGATCGACCGGAGTGATGCCACGGCCTCAAAGAAAACCGGCGTGAAATAACCACAGCGATGTGTTTCGCCATGTGAGTGAGGTTACTGAAGGCCCAATCCTTTCCCTCCCCCAATCCCTAAATCTCCAAATCCTTAATCCCCAAAAGGTCGGCAAAGCACTCGTCGGCGGAGGTGATTACTTACCATCAGGTAATACGTCTACATACCAAGCAAGCAACATTTGCCAAGCTATCTATCACATAAAAAACCAATAATTGATTTAAAGCTCAAATTACGATAATTATGTCACAATTTATCTTGACATAATTATTAGGTATTGAGATAAGGTATCTGGTTCGTTGGCAGAAAAATCTAGTTTTATCTCTTTATCTAATTTCACCATAAATTTCGTGTATGTTGAAATAAGTTGAATAAACAAAATTATTACACAAAATTGTGTAACAATTGCGCAATAGTATATTGTGAGATAATAAAAAAATAACATAATATTATTATCTCGCAATTAACGAAATATATTATTATATAAAAAAAAACTTTAATTAGATATTCACTTCTCAAAACAATAATATATTTATAGTAAAATTTTATAGGTAATTTCAGTCCTAATATTTTCCTTTTAAGGTACCTAATAATTAAATAGGTACGTACCTATTAATTTTTATAAACAAATGCATCTACACTAATATTACGTCGGATGTAATTAAAAAGCCTAATACCAAATTATTCTCTCGTAAATAAAAACAACAAAAACGTCGTTCGGAAGTTACGCGCCGACGACACGATCTGAGAATTCATTCACACGTTCAAATATAGATAAAACCACTACTACCGGTAAACTAATATCAATATTTACTACACAGACCAGTACAAATAAATAAACATAAACTAATCGAAATATTCTCGTAAGAAATAAATTCGTTAATAATTGCATAAACTCGGATATGACCTTAGTACGGATACCCTTCGCAAGGCATTTTATAAAAATCCTTACACTTACGTACACATGTAACTACATACCTATAGAATGTGCGTAAACGTGTGTTAGCAAAGCGGAAACTTTATATTTTATACAATTACATATAAAAGCAAGGACTGCCAATATTAATTGCACAATTTATATGAACGGATATGTACGATTTACTTTGTTATATTACATTCTACTTGTAATATTAGAAGCAAATTACCATTTTCGTTAATCTTTTAATATATGATAGATATTCTAGTTTACACGCACTTTATTTATCTCACGTAAAAAATGTTGTTCTGTCACAATTTTGAAGATGCCAACCTACCTATATTGCGTCAAAATTTACTAAATTCTGCTCGACAATTTATGAGGTTTTTCTATTCAAACAACGTAGGTACTAAATTAAGTGTCAAATAAGTTTGTATTAGCTACACTTTATGGGTAAGGCAACGTTTCTGAAATATTTAAAATAGGAATTACCTACATTTGAGAATACATTCGAAAATTGAAATTAAAAATAAACACAATAATAAATAGCCAAATTCGTTAAATTCGTGTGCGCGGTAAATTGAGATTACAACGCATTTGACCTTCGGAAACCAATACCGCGAATATTCTGTTGAAACCCTCAAAGTTGTGTAGATCCAACAGATATCTTGTATCTACTATTGGATCCTAACAATATATGTTTATTGGGTCTAGTCCAATCAGCAGAATAATTACACTTGACCTTCAAACCACATTAGACCTTGCCCCCTATTACTCAAGGCCGTGAATTCTCCGGCAATTAAATTATTAGTTTAGGAAATCCAAATTGATTGTTGTGTTTCCTATCGATCCTTATACTTCATGTTATAAATATGAAATTACAAAAAGGGCATTTTTTTTTTGATTCGTACACAGTTGGTTAAAACAGACTACATACATATATACACACTAAGCTATTATTATGTTTTCTATTTTATACCTTAATATGGGCCCCACTTGTAGGTCATTTAAAATTAAAACCTAACATTATATTCCTAATTGTAATTTACAAATAACCTCTTAGCCTTACACGAATCTGTCACGTACAAGATTGATTATATTTTCATTGTAAGTCTACGTTTGCAAATATTGACCTTACGCTTATAGTAATAGGGTACAAACTATTCTATTTAATAAACAATTTTAATTAGGTCAATCAGAAACCACGTCTTTCCAATCACCAAGCATACTAACACTATGATTCCCGTCCTTCAGCATACAAGGAGAGCTGTCGAATCTCAGACTCTAACCAACAAGTTTCTCTTCTAAACTCGCACACGGATTACATGATGGCAAGCATTGGACACCCACAACATCAGAAGAGTTACAAATGCGTTGCCGGCTTTTTATGGGTTTTGGAGACTAAAGAATTGGGGAAAGGGAAGAAGAGTTGAGACCCCGGTAACCTCACTCACACGGCGACATACTGTGAAAATGTTTTTTTTTTCTAATTATAAACTATCAGTACTTTTTATAACTAAACACCGGCCGCGGATTCGCTCGGGTGCTATGCCTTTACTAAATTTCTCCACTCGATATAAATACATCTGCTACAATCATTCTATCCGTTAAAAAAAATGCATTAAAATCCGTTGCGTAGTTTTAAAGATTTAAGCATACATATGGATATAGGGACATGGATATAATTATTGCCATGCCACAAACTCACTATAAATTTCAGTATTTCTATTACATGTAAATGTGTTTTATAATACTTGTTATTAACTTTAAAAAACTAGTCTCTCTGATCCAAATTGTAGGTCAAGGTCACCGCCATTAATATTTTTACATAAATCCTAGAATTAATAAAACATAGCATTATAAGCAATTATAATTATTGCGAAAAAACATTTTAAATACTAATTAAATTGTATTTCTTTGATCTATAAAGATTGTTACTTGATAAACACTAACCTAGAAATTGCGAAAACATATAGAGTTGTATAGTAATTTTTTTTATATTATGTTTTAATAAAGTAGAACTTTAATCGTGTACTTACAGATATTCTACGTAGATTTTTTTTAAATTAAACTACCTTATTCAATCGTATTGAGGACTTAACCGGTATAAACCACAAAATCGATAACCGATTTCAGATGGTTGATGCAATTGTTTACAAAATAGATTTTATCCCAAATAATTTGATTCACTGCATAGTCAAACATAAAAAGTCAAGCTTCAAACAAATTCGCTTTCTCTGTACCTATATCCTTATGCATGCTTAAATCTAAGGGACCGATTTTGAAGTGGTTAATTTTTTAATAGATAGAGTGATTGAAGAGGAAGATTTATATGTATCATCCATTGAAGAGTGAGATTTTTTTATCAGCATTGCCAAACTATGTCGTGTTAAAGCGTCAATCTTTTGGGCGAAAAAGAGGAATGGAGCTATATAAGGGGTATAGCTCCATCCCTCTTTCTCATGGTAATGGTATGGTATGTATGGCATGGTAGACCTTCTGGGCGTTTCGCTACTTATAGGTAAAAGATTCCTGAATTCGTCCAAATTTTACATTGATCCCGATGGCTAATCTCAATTCGAGAGTCGCCATTATTTGTTATCCGCCTACCTATACTGGTATAGTAACTCTCGATTTATATACCTATCATCATCAGTAGGGGGGTTCAGTACAATGATTGTCCATCGTGCACTGACTATTAATCAATGAAGTTTAATTAATCCTGTTCTATTTTTATGATCATTTTAATTAATAGGTTTGATTACAGTAATACATATACTATGTCGTTCTAGGGCTTACGCAGCATGAATTTCGATGCAAACTGTAAAGTCCGAAATCGTAAACACCACTGATATTAGGTAATTGAAAAAGTCGATTTAAATGAATCGAGATCTGAAAATTTTATGAAGTAAATATATATTTTTATTTTTGATAGGGAATAATGGAAACCTAAAATAGCTCTTCTCTGTTTTTCGAAAATATACTTAATAAAGTTTTTAGACCATGATATGGGGATTACGTGCAAGTACCAAGTTTTCAGTTCAGTAGTTTCCATTATTTTATATAATCTATATATTTTACTTCTATATATTTTTAGACTTGAATTAACTATGTATGGAAATCCGTTAAGTTAATATATTTTGCTCTTTTTTTCTAGTATTTACGCAACTACTTGACCCAGTAATCAATAAAATTACAAATAAATGGCTCACTTCACCAGACAATCCTAACTCTCCAGATTAAAATTACAAATGCAAATATTGACAAGCTTTTGAGATATACAATGTTTACTAAAGATAGAATTGCTGGGAACGACGATCGGTGGAAAATACACCACACAATAACATATATATTAGTTATTAGATTTATAATAAATCGTAAAGTAGATACGTTTCAAAAACTAATAATAAAATAAAATAATAAAGTAAAAACTACTAAGTAATAACAATACCTTTATAAAAAATAAACATTTGTATAATTAATTTGATCATATAAATAATTGAGATCAAATGTTAACTAGAGCAAACAATGAATAATTTTTCATAATACGTATTTCGTAAATTTACTAAAAGCACCCTTTACAAGGGCAATTATGTATTGTAGAAAGGGATTGTTTTTAGTACATAAGATTCTGATAACCACTTGCCCCAACCTAAGGCTAGTGAAGTCATTTGATGACTATTCACCCTCCAAAAACTAAAAGCCACGATCCCCATTTAATTAGGACGAGACAATAAGATCAAAAATCTAGACACAAAATAGACCAAAATAACAAGCACTGAGTTAACTAAACAAAATATTTAATCAAGGTTTGCACAAACCACGGCACGCGATAATAACGATCGCAGAATTGGGGTTAAGGTAGCCACCGAACAGTTTACTTCCTGCAAAACTGGCAATCTTTATAATGAACAACTCTAGTACGAGATAAAATAAAATAATTTGTCTAACAACTTCTAAATACTAAATCTTAATGAATTTATTTATAAGACACGCGTCCATACGGTGGGCCGACTAAATCAATTTTATTTACCTTGTGAGGTCACGTTTGAGGTTATAATGCAGTTTATTGACATTTAAGGAAGCAAATAAACAGCAAATTGAGCATGTAGTGATGTGAATTTTATGATTTGGAGTTTAAATAAGGGAATGCAATTGAATTTGACACGTAAATCTCGCTTTTACCATGGCTTTATTTTTTTGCATAGGCTAAAACCTGACGAGAGGTGACAGAGGTTGACATTTTTAGTCTACACGGATTTATTTTTCCAATATCTATGAAAGGAATGCAAAATTTTCACGATTTTCCATTTAGGAAAATACACAGCGGTTCCGTAAGTTTTTAGAAAAAACCCCAACAAGAAAACTGGGCCTAATGGTTTAAGAATTTTCTACATGTTTCGATTCAAAATCTTGAATGAAAATATAATCGAATTTCACGTTTTCCTTTATAAAATTGTTACGATTCCATCAAATAAGTTAACCACCACAAAATTCTAAAGGCAAAAATGGTAATAGAGAAAATCTTACCTTAATTTCTGGATAAAAATAATAGCGAGCACAGCTGATAGCGTATCCATTGGCGAGGGAGCCTCCAGGACAGAAGATTCCATCTCCATCGCCGCCAGCCCATCCGACTATCGCCCTCATTTCCCGAAGAACCTCTTCTTCCATCAGAGTGAAGACTGGTGCCACTTCGAAGGTGTACACGCTGGGGTTCAAGGCATCGGTCAACCATTGCCCAACCAGACCGTAAGGATCGACGCTCGAAAACAGTTGGTTAACGAAGTAGGGATGTCCTGTGTTGACAGAGTAGCGAGCAACCTGTTGAAGAAGGTAATTTTTGTTATTTTATTTGGCGCATGAAAATTATATTTTATATTTTTTTGTTCATCAGTTTTTAGTTCTCAACGAATCGATTTTTTGTTTGCTTTTTTCCAATGCGTTATTATCATTACAATTAACAAATTTTTACGAAAGAAAAAGTTAAAATGTTATTCCATTAAATAATTTCGTTGAAAAATTTTTCTTACCACAAAATTAAATTTTGGAATATAACTATTGTTTTCTTCTTCGATTTGATTTCTTAAGTTAACTAAAATTGAAAAAGAAAACAAGCGATAACTTACATCGGCCATAAGTTTGAGGAGCTCTTCATGAGCCACAGGCGAGTCTCTTGGCTTCAGATCTATCGCTTTCTTGATTTCATCAGGGGAGGCCCATTCCACCACTTTGGAAGTTCTGGAAGACCTTCCGAAGACTACTCGTTCCACCAACAAGTCTACTGCTCTTCTAATAAAATCTTCATGATTGGATCTTACAGCAAGAGTTTTGTAGCTGTCCTTCTCCACGCCAATAATTTCTCCATTAGGTACAATTAGGTCTGAGTCGGCAGGCATTTTAATTTATTTCTTTATTTTCTTTCACTCAACACAAGTAGTTTTATTTGAAGAAAATAAAGTATTTAAATGTGCATATGTTATTGGTATAGTACCGGCTACGGCCGACCGCGAGCCTCGGAGCCGAAGGTTTGAGTCGCCGGTCATAGCGTAGCCTTCTTAAATACTACGGAACGTTGATCAATTCACTTCGTAAGGTTATACCAGTGAAATATAAACAAATGTGTTTTTGCAAAGTCACTAGCGTTATCAAAGCTGTCAACTGATGATTTTCAGTCATTTGTGTTAATCTTGTCAGTAATCAATTTTGACGGAAGTGCTTCGAATCTACTAGTATCATAATTTTGTGCGCGAACATGATGCGGACTCGTGATTAATTTATTAATCAATGAGATACATATATTTGTGGATTTTATCGACGCTTTATTCTTAGACTTAATTCTCTAGAAGTGAATAGAGAATTTTATTATGTCACGTAGGTCGAAAATAGTTTGTTTTGTTTTTATTTCATTTCTTGTTTACTTTTTCACCGACTTCTCAAAAAGTAGGAGATTTTCGATTCGGGTGGTATGTTTTTTTCCTATGTATTTTCGCAGTTTATGTCCAAATTTATTAAATTAAGCCGATTTTTTTTTAATTAAATTAATTTCTAAATTAAGTACTAAAAATTGTCAACATTGAATTTGCATTTATTCCTATGGAGTTTTTATTCTCTTTTTTTAGTTTATTGTCAAAATGTCGCGATGATCCAAGTTTCTCATTTATGAGCACTCTCGTTCGAATTCCAAATTTAGCAATACCATTGTTTTTTTTTAATTACGTATACTTATCCTTTTTAAAATTACCCAATGACATATAGTGAAAAATCTGGAATAATAAAAAATATGTTAACTTTTCAATCATGGTATATAGTGAAAAATCTGGAATAATCAAAAATATGTTAACTTTTCAATCATGGTAATTCAAGGCACAATAAAATAACAAAAACGGCGTTCGTTTGGAGTTTAATGAATTGAATCGCCAACCTGACATGAGCAGACGTGGTGATTAATGCTCAAACCTTCTCCGCGTGAGGAGAGGCCTATACTGAGCAGGGATGGTGAAGAACATTTAGTAGGTACAAGTAGTATGATTGTTATGGAACTAACAATTAATAAATTAATATTCCAAATTCAAATCTGGACCCAAATTATATTTATTTGAACAAGAGCTAGGCTTTAAGACAACTTTCAAGGCTATCAGTACTATGTAGCTACTTTGTAAAAAAGTAATGTATACCTATTTAACCAACAGTTAAAGTGAACGGTACACCGTTAATTAAAGATAACCAATTACTGATCAATCTACGGTCTAATACACACTAGTGCAATTACAATTGCATTTTTTGTACTTAACACAAAATATGGGAAAACCAAAATGATTTTTATAACAGCAAAAAATGATGACGTCACTCATTCCTGAAATCTTGGAATCGATAAAATTTTCTACCACTGCTTCATTTTGATGCTCGAATACCGCCCAAAGACCAATCAATTAAAAAGAAAATATATTCTTCAAAGCAGTAGGCTCTTGATAGCATTCCAAAAGTAACATATTCGGTCAGATAAAAAAAACACAACATTAAATATAAATATTAAAAATCCTTATTTTTTAACATATTTTTATTTAATTCAGCAAAAAATAGCTCAACAAATCGATAATATTCTTTATTCCAATCTAATAACGGTTTTTCTTTCTTTCAAATTCTATTTCTGCAAAATAGTCACAATCAAAAATAAGTTAACTATCCTTATCAGATAGAGGCTTATCGTCTTTTAGCCTACTTCAATCATATAGGAAGCTAAAGACACACTACTTCTCTATTTTGACGTTTCAAAAGTACCTACTTATGATGAATAAATGATTTTGACTTTGACTTTGACTTTGAAAGAAACGTCAATATGTACAAAAGTCTTCGTTACTGCTGACTGACATACAACATAACTGAACTTCAAACTCAAACTTTTTTTTTATAGCATAGGTCGATTCGTGCTGGCGGACAACCTGATGGTAAGCAATCGACTAGCTCAAGGAAGACTGCACTGGATGCAGTCAAATCGGTATGACTGCATGGTTGGTGCGGTGGCTGGGCAACTGGCTGCCGTGCTAGGTGTCGCGGGTTCGATTCCCGCACGGAACAACTCTTTGTTGTATACATACACAAATTGTTATTCCGGATCTGGGTGGCTTATGTATGTAAATTTTGTATGTTTGTAACCGCACCCACGACACAGGAGAAAATCCTAATGTAGGCAAATTTTATTTTTTAATGAAAAAAATTTATTGGATAGTCAATAAATTATATTTTAGATAGTTATCAATATCGACGTAACATCACGTAGAGACACATGAGAAAAATATATTTAACTTAATGAATTTTGATAATGATTATTAATTGTATTAATGTTGTATATTGTATATTGTAGGAAGTGTATTTTCATTTTAATTTAAATTATTTGCTGTTTTCATCAGAAATCTTTTAAAGTATAATTACATATTATTTCTACCTCTTCTAGACAAATATCAAAAACACCAGTCGAATCGAGTGATTAGAATGTCAATGTCAGTGTCAAAAATTGTGAAAATGACATTCGACAAATTATGTCAAAGGTTGAGTGACATAAGGTTTAATTAATTTTTTTAACTATTCTATCAATATAAACATAAGAATAAAATACTAGTGTTTAATGTCTTTGTCATTATATCAATAGAAGTGGTCGCAATAAATCTTAAAATTAGGTATTTGGTTTCGATGAAGTGCGTAAAGAGCCACATATAGGCAATTATTCGATAAGGTATATTATGTCAAAAAATTAGAAACTATTTAAAACGCGGACAGAGCAGATGACTAAAGCTAGCTAGGTCATATGAATACATAGGTATAATATATGTACATAAGTAGTCACATTTAATTCGATTCCTTAAATTCTACATTTCCTTTTATCATTTGCCTTGAAATTTGCTTTTTGTATCACCACGCTAATTAGTCGCATGGAGGTCAACACCGACCTTTGTTACTTGGCTAATCAACTGCGAACAAATTGTAAAAAAGAGTTCAAAGTTATTATGCATCTATTGTTTTAGTTTTCTTATTAATTTCTGATTATGGTGTATTGATAGGATTTTTGTGTCATCTATTTATATTGTTATGTTCTATAGATAATATTCGTACTACTTGTTTTTTAACCGACTTCAAAAAAGGAGGAGGTTCTCAATTCGACGAGTATTTTTTTTATGTATGTACACCGATTACTCGAAGACGCCTGGACCGATATGCAAAATTTTTTTTATTCGATACTTGCCATTTGGTCCCATTGTCATGAGGTCAGGACCTGATGATGGAATCCTGGAGATACCGAGGGGAAAATTGTAGGGACAGTAGTTTTTTTGTATGATGTTTTTCTTTGCTAAAGACCACTCGTGGTTCAGCACTGTTAGTTTGTTGACTAATTGGCCAGATAATTATAGAAGGTGTACAATAGACTGCATTACCAAATTGGTTGTAGTTAAGGACTGGGGGAATAAGGAATAGATCTGGGGAAGTTGGTTCTGCGGTAATTACGGTAACTAACACATGACACACGGCCAAACTCAACATAAGCGTTTTTTTCCACCAGTTTTCTGTTAAGCCGCCCTTTGGTTCAGCCAACCCATTCATAGCTTTAGCCAACTCAAGCCTTCTCATACTTGATTTTAAGAACAGGTGATTTTATAAATTCTGGAATGCCGTTGTAATTATTATAATATTTTTTAATGTTTATCAATATACTCATCTACTTATAGAGACTTTGACTTAAGATTTTACATACGTAGGTACTTAACTCTTTGGTGATTCGATACCTTCATTCCATAAGTACCTGTATATGTAGTCACACATTCTTGAAAATCCATTAAGTGTGACACATTCGTAAATTCGTTCTAAATATAAATAACTCTACCCGAAACAGCAATGTAAGGATCACACAAAGTGTTGTTCTGTGCGGGGAACGAACCCACAACACTTTGCACAGCAGTCAGTAGTGTAATCAACAGAGAGAAAAACCGTAATTAGATTTTAATTAAGAAGATTGTCGAATTGTTCAGGTATGCAAAAATATGCAAAAAAATAAAGATTTTTACCCAACGCTGTGGTTGATCCACGCCGATTTTCTGTGAGGCCGTGATATCACTCCGGAGGAGCCAACCCATTCGTGCCGACGCTTGACTCTCCCACACTTAAACGCTTATGCTATGCATATGTTTATCAAATCTTTCAAACTACTGAAGGGGAAGGTTGTTATATGAATTATATAAAATTGCACCCGTCCGAAGCCGGGGCTGGTCGCTAGTTATTATATAAATTGATTGTCATTATTAACATGTGGAAGCACACGTGAGGGGATAACATTGCCGCTCTATCTAAAAATATGGACCACGAATTGGAAGCGTGCAAATTCATCCGAAAAAAATATAATTATATCCGTGCGTTGGACAATAATAACCGAAATTATTATCATAACATGAATCTCTATTTATATAACTTGCATCTAATATGCTAATTAAAGTAATAAAAAATGTATAAACGCGTGTAAAATACTTTTTTAACTTTATCCTTTCCTACACAGTTTGTGATGTACCTCCATTTTTCTTTGTCTATGAAATCGATTGTCAATTTTATTGATGTGAATAAAAAAAATATAATCACCCAGTATTTAATTATATTCATAATCTAAACAATAATAATTTGCATTTGAAAATGGAAGACATTTTTTGATGTCTTAGAAAATTTAGAAGTGGCTTAAAAAAGTATTTTGTATAATTTAAATTTGTTCTTTAGTGTTCTATAAAAAAACCAAGCCACCAAGACCAATACGGCAGTGATTTTATATCATTTAAATTTCGGATCAAGCAAAATATTATTTTGTTTTTTTTTTATTCCGAACTCAATTCAAAGCACGAAGCTTTAAAGTCTTATCCAATGTACAGCAAGTATGGCTCCTTATTTCATAAGAATCATAACAAAATTATCAATCTGGATTAAACTGGTTATATTTGCCCTCTGCCTTTAATATATCTAATAAAAAAGGTGATGTTATGTTCTGTTATCTGTTTATCACTTATTTCACCACGAACTACCCCACTAA